ACATTAACCCAGCTCCAGGCCCGGGGCTGCACTGGGAGTCAGTGGGGAGCCTTTGTGAGCTGGGAGACAGATCTGGCAGAGAATCACCAGGGCTGTGGGGACCAGGGTGGGTGGAGATGGAGAGAATTAGGAGAAGGGGATGTAGGAGCTGTTTTGTGGAGGAAGACCAGAGGGCATTTCAGGACTTTGGGCAAGGAGTGGGGGAAGATCTGGTGGTGACTGGGTCTGAAGGCAGACTTGAGTGGGAACTTGGACCCTTTTTGCTGGTGGTGGAACATCAGGGCAGGATGCGTCAGGTCAGCTGCTGTGGATAGCTTGCCAACTTCCTGGGGGAAAGTGCAGTAGAGTGGGGGAGAAGGCGGGGAGGCAGCCCAGCGCATTGGGGGCAGGTGGGAGGTGAGGCCTGAGCTGGGGCCCGGTGTCTGGGTGTGGTGAGAAGAGAGGAGAGCTTTTTGTGGGTGAGAACCGATAGACTGGAGATGTGTATATGGGAGCTAGAAGCATTCAGAATCATTCCAGGCATGGTAGTTACATTTACTGGTCCCTTTGAGGTGGGTGGAAAGAGCATGGCGTCGCGTTAAAGTTACATTGCAAGGGTAGTCTCATGGGGCTGCCTCTCCATTCTGGGTCTCACAGCTGGGTTGGTACTTCTGCAACCAAAGCTGGCCAGTGCTTGTTTTTACCCAGCATCCTGGGTTGGTGGCTGCACCTCCTGCCATCAACCATGGGATGTTTAGACAGTCCCTTATTTCCTAACTCCCTGTGAGACTGGTCTTTAGGGAGAAATTATTTAGATGATTTTGTGTGTGTGTGTATGTGTGCTCACATGAGCCCCTGTCATGTGAATGTGGCTTTGTGTGTGTGAGGTGTAGGTGTGACAGAGATGAGACATGTGAGTGGCTGTGGGGTGTTTGTAAAATGCGCCTGTCAGAGTGTAAGAGGATCAACTATGCCCATCTTGGTTGTAAGCAAAAGTCTAGTGAGCTTGTGCACCTAGGTGTGTGCACGTAGTGTAAACGCATGTGCGTGTCTGCATGCCTGTGCATGTGTGTGTGCTTTGTGGAGGTATGTGTGTGCATTTACATGTATGTTTGTGCACATGTATGTGTCTACCCGTCTCTATGTGCATATGTACATGCCTGTGCACACATGTATGTGTGCCTGTCTGTGCATTTTTGGAGGTATATGTGTTGTCATATAAGTATGCTTATGCAGGTATGTATGTGCATATGTGTGCACACACTTGTACACAGATGTGTGTAAATGCCTGTATATGTCTGTGCCCTTGTGGAGGTATGTGTGTGTTTTCATGTAAGTACTGCAGAGTAATGACAGACTGGAGACTAAGGTGCGCCTGATGCAGGCTATTGTCTTCGCAATTACGTGCTATGCATTGGAGAGTTGGATAGTGAATAGGGATGATAGAAAGAGAATTGATACCTTTGAGCTGTGGTGCTGGAGAAGAGTGTTGAATATACCATGGACTGCTAGGAGAACAAACAGGTTTGTGCTGGAGAGGGTGAATTCAGAATGCTCCTTGGAGTCAAGGATTCTGAAGCTTTGTCTGACATACTTTGGACATGTTGCAAGGAGGGACTGGTCCTTGCAGAGGGACATCATATTTGGGAGAGTGGAGGGACGGCGCAGGAGGGGAAGACCCTCGATGAGATGGATCATTTCTGTGATTGAGGTGTTGGGAATGAGTGTGTTTGAGATGGTGAGGTTGGCACAGCATAGAACAGCATTAAGGGCTCTTGTACATAGGGTCGCTGTGAGTTGCAGGTGGCTCAATGGCACGTAACAACAACAACAATGGTAGGTTAGACCCTGAATAAGTCTCGTTTGGAAGTTCCTGTGTGAAGCAGTTGGATTCTGGAAGGTAGGTTGTTTTGACTTAATTCAAAGTCTGGTGTAAACTCTTTGGTGTTTTTAATTTCATTAACAATCAAGTGTAAGATGATTAGTTGTTTGTATTTAGTTAACAATCAGCTGTAGGCTGGAAGTCTCTTGTTTAAATCAGTCAGTACCTGGACCAGCTGGTGTTAATTGTGCCTGGGGAGAACATTGTTCTAAGTGGCACAGAACTTGTCTGTCAGTTTGCTGTACTGAGATAACTCAGGGTTGTTGGGATACTGAAAGCTTTGCTACTGGTGTGTCAAATGCCATGAGTTATCAGTGGTGCACAGAGCTTGGTAGAGCTTCCAAATTAAGACAGATTTGAAAGCAGGACTGACATCCACTTCTGTGAACACTAAAGAAATGATGGAATAGCTGGGTCATATGGAATGTCTATGTTCAGCTTTTTGAGGAAATGCCTAACTGCCTTCAGAGTGGTTGTACCATTTTACAATCCCACCAACAATGTATATAAAAATTCCTTTCTTGCCACATCCTCTCTAATGTTTATTACTTGCTGCCTTTTTAAAATTTGCCACTGTTACTGGAGTGAGATGGTACCTCATTGTGGTTTTGATTTGCATCTCTCTTATTGCCAGTGATTTGGAGCATTTCTTTATGTGTCTGTTTGCCATTCTAATATCTTCCTCTGTGAAAATTCTTTCCATGTCTTTTGCTCATTTTGTAACTGGGTTATCAGTCTTTTTCTTGTGGAGACCCAGGAGTATTCTGTAAACTTTTGTTATAAGACTCTTGTTTGAGATGGTATTACCAAATGTTTGTTCTTAGTCTATAGGTTTTCTTTTCACGCTGTTGGAATAGAAATTCCATATGACCCAGCTATTCCACTACTTGGAATATACCCTGATAAAATGAGAACTGAGGCACAAACTGAGATTTGTACACCAGTGTTCATAGCAGCATTATTCACCATCATAAAAACATGAAAACAGCCAAAATGTCCTCAACCACAAATAAATGGATTGAGAAATTTTGGTGCATTCACACCTGGAATGCAGCATGCAGGAGCAGTGATCTTTTAAATTAATACCTAGCTTGGGAGGGACTGGAGAGCATTATGCTGAGGGAACTCAGTTCCACAAGGACAAATACTTCATAAAACCCTTATTATAGAATGAGTATAAGAATCCATGACTGGTGGGAGAGGGTAGAAGCAGAGGAATGAGGATGTGCAGGGGGTGGGGGAGATTAATCATGGGGTTGTACAATTTGATGGGAGTAGGGTGAGGGAAATGGAAAGAATCTATTCTTAAAAACAATGTATTCAAGTGCAACAATGAATGAATGAAATGAAAACAAAACAAAATGAAACAAACACCACAATGTATTCAAATTTTGTAAATAAACTAGTAGAAAATGGAAAAAAAACCCACCTAAAGAAAAGGACTTAAAACCATTTTTAGAAAATACATTCTGGCCGCCCCGTCCTATATGCTTAAGACTCGCGCGAGTTGCACTTCCTTCCTTTTCGTTCCTTCGGCACCACCATGGCGGTGGGCAAGAACAAGCGCCTTACAAAAGGTGGCAAAAAAGGAGCCCAGAAGAAAGTGGTTGATCCATTTTCTAAGAAAGATTGGTATGATGTAAAGGCGCCAGCAATGTTCAATAGAAGAAATATTGGGAAGACATTAGTCACAAGGACTCAAGGAACCAAAATTGTGTCTGATGGACTCAAGGGTCGTGTTTTTGAAGTGAGCCTTGCTGATTTGCAAAATGACGAAGTTGCATTTAGCAAATTCAAGCTAATTACTGAGGATGTTCAAGGCAAAAACTGCCTCACCAACTTCCATGGCATGGATCTTACCCGGGACAAAATGTGCTCCATGGCCAAAAAATGGCAGACCATGATTGAAGCACATGTTGATGTCAAAACCACCGATGGTTATTTGGTCCATCTATTTTGTGTTGGTTTAAAAAAAAAAACGCAACAATCAGATTCGGAAGATATCTTATGCTCAGCACCAACAGGTCCACCAAATCCGGAAGAAAATGATGGAAATCATGACCCGAGAAGTGCAGACAAATGACTTGAAAGAGGTGGTCAATAAATTGATTCCAGACAGCATTGGAAAAGACGTAGAAAAGGCATGCCAGTCTATTTATCCTCTCCATGATGTATTTGTTAGGAAAGTAAAAATGCTCAAGAAGCCCAGGTTTGAATTGGGCAAAGTCATGGAGCTTCATGGTGAAGGTGGTAGCTCTGGAAAAGCTACTGGAGATGAGACAGGTGCAAAAGTTGAACGAGCTGATGGTTATGAGCCACCAGTTCAAGAATCTGTTTAAAATTCAGCCTTTTAATAATTACAAATAAAAATTATTATTTGTGCAAAAAAAATACATTCTGGGTCGTTCCTGACGCTGCTAAGATGATTCTTATTGTGAGTTGTATCCTATTACTTCCCTAATAAACTCCAAAATGATGAAGAAGAAAAAAAAGACATGATGGTAATTATAGAATAGGGTTCAGATCTTTTTTTTCATGGGGTGGCTATGAGTCATACTTGGCTCGATGGTGCCTAACACTAATATTTGTGCATCTATGCATGTGCCTGTATGCACGCACACTTAAGTGCATATGGGTGCATATTTGTGTACTTGTGGAGGTACATGTGTTTTAATGCATGTGTGTGTGTGCAGGTATGTGTGTGCATGTGTTTTTGCTTGTACATATTTGTGCACTTGTGGACGTGTGTGTGCTTTCATGTGTGTGTGCTTGTGCATGCATGCATATGTGCCCTCCCTTTCGATAGAATGTACATTTGTACATGTGTATGACTGGGCAGGCTGGTCCTACTGTGGGCATGTGTCACCTGGAGATGAGGGTGGGAGTGAGTGGTGTATCGGGCAGTGAGCCAGGGCTGGGAAGGGTGATGCCTGCTGCTTTTAGGACTGTGCACACGTGGATGGAGGCACCTGAGGCCAAGTCCCATACACACGTGCTGGTGTGTGAGTGTGGGGTTCACCTGCACTCTGTGCTCTGTGTCTGATATGGACCACTTACCTGCTGCTTTCCTGATCTTTCAGGGCCTGGAGGAGAAGGGGACCATCCAGCGTGAGGTGGTGCCTGAGCTGGCCGTGGGACGATGGGACTACTCTGGGGTCTGGCTGCAGCCTGGCTGGCTCTGGCCCTGGCCCTGATGCGCCCAGGTGAGGCGGCCCCACCACAGGACTGTACCGGCATTGAGTGCCCACCACTGGAGAACTGCATCGAGGAGGCCCTGGAGCCGGGGGCCTGCTGTGCCACCTGTGTGCAGCAGGGCTGTGCCTGCGAGGGCTACCAGTACTATGACTGCCTCCAAGGCGGCTTCCTGCGGGGCCAGGTGCCTGCTGGCCAGTCCTACTTCGTGGACTTCGGCAGCACCGAGTGCTTCTGCCCGCCAGGGGGTGGCAAGATCAGCTGCCAGTTTATGCTGTGCCCAGAGCTTCCGCCCAACTGCATCGAAACAGTGGTGGCTGCAGACAGCTGCCAACAGTGCAGCCAAGTGGGCTGTGTTCATATGGGCCGCAAGTACACTGCTGGCCACACTGTCCACTTGCCACCCTGCCGGGCCTGCCACTGTCCTGACGCCGGTGGTGAACTCATCTGCTACCAGCTTCCTGGCTGTGATGAAGACACAGAAGCCCTGCCACCTGCTGTCACCACCGCTGGGAATTTCTCAGACGCCGAGGAGGCTGACCCTGGACATCACTATGAAGACCCCTACAGCTATGACCAGGAAGTGGCCGAGGCAGAGGCGCTGGTGGCCGCAGCGGCCCTGGCCAGTGCGCCCCAGGCAGGTGCAGGGAGCCCAGCTGCTCCAGGAGATGGCAGTCAGCCCCTTGCTGCCATCCGGGCAACACCTTGGCCAGCTGCCTTCCCCAAGCCCACAGCAGCTACTGCCCTCGGCCCCCCAGCTCCAGCTCAGGCCAACGCTAGGGAAGTGATGGAGGACAGTGAAGAGGAAGAGGAAGTAAAAGAAGAAGAGGAGGAAAAAGAGGAGAGGGCTGTCTTGGAACAGCTGGTAGCAGAAAGTCTGCAGGAGTTGGACAGACTCCCCACTGCTGGTCCGGTCACCTTGGATCTCCTGACCCCGGAGGAGGTTGGGGCCGAAGCCCAGGCAGGCCCTGAGGAGAACCTTCTCCCAGAGGCCCAGCCCACCATTGCCAGCAATGCAGGACAGGAGGAAACCACTGTGCGGACACCCAGCAGAGCAGGTCCTGTCCCCACACTGAGTGCCCCTGGTGGCCTGGCCAAGCTCAGTGTCTATACCACCCCGAGCACACCACTGCAGGAGGTAGCCCAGGACCTTCAGACCCAGGTGACTCCCAAGCAGCCCAGGATTCTGCTCCATCCTCAGGCAAAGGAGGATGTGGACCCCAACTCTGTCCATTCTGTCCCCAGAAGCGACCCTGAAGGTAAGGCCCTTTCTTCTTCCTTCAGGGCACTCGGCCTGCTTGGGAGTTAGGGCAGCCTGGGCCTCTGGTCTGCACTGGGTCTCTGCACAGCTGCCTAGAGTGAGGGGAGCCAGCTAGGGCCGAGGAAATCCTGATGAGGTACTTCAGGGCAGGAGGCTTTGAGGTGGAGCCCTCCGCAGCACAGCCCTGTGTGGACGGAGCAGTAGGAATGGGGATGCAGCCCTGCTGCAGGGAGCATCGAGGCTGCGAACCCCGAGGAGAGTGGGGCAGAGTGGCTCCAGAAGGGAAATACTGGGCACAGACTTGTGGGTGCTAGCCTCCATCCTCACCAGCTGATAGAGGCCTCTGGTCATGGCTACATTAACGATCTCTTCTGGGGGCTCCTATCAGATCCGCCACCTCTTTCAGTAAGGAGGGGCAGTTCCCATTAGCACGCAAGTTGGGCACTGTCCCTCTGTTCCTGCCTTACACAGAGTGGATGCTCGAGGTCTTAGCCAGCCGTTGGCTTGCACATCTGGCTGCCTGGCTGGGCTTCCTCCTTGCCATGTGCCTTCCTGCCCCAGAGCTTCTGTGTTCCCCCTTTCTGAACTCTTCTTCTTGTGTCTCCCTCTCCTTCCCTTCATCTCTCTAGAGAGCCCACCCCGACCCCTCCGCTAGCTCCAGGAGACCCCCAAGCCCACCTCTTGCTCTCTTAGCACTGCCTGATGAGAATGCACATGCCGTGGTTACTCCTTGCTGCCTGCATCCCCTGTAGCGTTAACTCACAGAGATGGGCCTGTCTTCAGTGTCCACGCTGTGCCCAAGTGCCTGCCTACATAGACATAGTCTGGAGGTTGAAGGAACCAGTGAAACAAGCTCCGACCACGTTGCCCCTCGGCTTCCCTTCTTCCTGCACATTCCACATGGTCTCCCTCTGCATTTGTTCACATGTTCCCTTATACAGTTCAGGCAGCTCTTCCTCCAAGAAATCTTCCTTGAACCTTCCCTGCCTTGGACTTGGGTTTGGATCTTGATTGGCCTCTCCTTTTCTCCCCTCCCCAGTTCTGAGTGTGTCATGAGGGCTTCCCATTACCTGTCTCACTGGAGTCCATGTTGTATACTGGCCCCATATGGCAGACAGAGTCAGAGCAGTGTGCCTTTGCCCGTGAAGAAGGGTGCCCTGGTGACATCTCGGAAGGCTTCCTGTAGGCAGAGGCATTTCTGCAGCATCATTTCTGCAGCATTCCTGTCTGCCTGTGCTGTCACCCTGCTTGTGGGGCCTCAAATAGGTCTTTAACAGATTGGTTGTGCATGTGTCTCCCCACACTGATGGGCCCCACTTTGGGTACAGACTCTGTCTGAGATGCGGGGCCCTTTGGAGCCCTGTGCCCACTGGGTCCCTGTTTCCAGCTTACCTTGGTGGAGAGGACTTACTTGAATGAGCACCTTTTTGTGTGACTTCTTCCTCCTTAAAAGCACAGAAGTGGAATCTCATCCCCATTGTATGCGACTCACACCTGTGATGGCTCACTGGGACAGGGGTGCGGGGTGTGTGGGGCACGTGTATGGGGCTGTGCTTTGGGCAGGACATGGTTGCTGGCCGTGCTATTGAACATGAGCATCTGGGCGGCCTTCCCGTGGACTTCTGAGCTCCCTCAAGGGGCAGCTTGTTTGGGCTGAGGACTTCAGGGTTTCCATAGTAGCCACAGCCCCCACCCGGCCCTGTCTCCCATCTCCTCCTCATGTGACTGGGCCTTCAGATTCAGGGAGCAGGGCTTTTTCTCAAAACCTTAGGCTTTCTTAGAAGGGTTTGGGGCTGTGGCCTTTCTCAAGGAAGAGCTGTTACCATGTGCTGTCATGTTTGCTCTGACTTGTTGCCCTGTGCCCAGCAGAGTGAAAATGCCACATGCAGCACCAGCCTGCTGGTGGGCACCACTGTGCTCCATCACTCTGTTGTAGCTCTATGATTTCTCAGCTCATAATCATCAAGTTTGGCAGGTTTCTGAGGCTGTAAATAACACAGAAGGAGATTACCCATCTTTCTCCCAAGGAGCAGCTGGTGGATTTGAACCCCCAGAGAGGAGCCACTATTGAGTTTGCAGCACATCTCCCTGCAGACTACGCCACTGGAGCTCCTTAGTCATGGGAGATGTTTTGAGCCAAGTGTTCCTTTCCCCTCTAAGGGCAGCCCGGCCCTGGCTGAGGGCTCAGTGCATACAGAGTCTCAGTGGGCAGAATGAGCAGGGCATAAGTAGGGGTGTGGAGGGAAGGGAAGGTGTCAGGGGATAGGAGGGTATATCTGAATGGGACCCCAGGTGAGTCCCTGCCTGATAAACTAGGACCAGCCACAGCCTCACCCACCTCCCTTCTCTCTAACCACATGCCCACTCAGTCATATACCATGCCTCTTCTGCCCATGTGACTCAGGAAAGAGACTTGGTGGTCTTGTGCCTCAGTTTCCACAGTTGTAACGGTCACTGTTCCATGTTGTGTAGATTAAGTGAGCTAATAGCACATGTCAGAATTTCAGCGTAGCATTTAGTACTTGCTGAGTAATTGAAAATGTTCGCGGATATTGTTTATCCGTTCTTCAGTCCACCCACTGCTTTCTTCAGCAGATGTCGCCGTGACGGGGCCTGTGCCAGGAACAGGCACAACCTCTCCCCGTTTTGTGGTTTCGTGGAGGAGGAGGAGGACATTAACCAGATAAGCAGTGATGACTGGGGTGGTGACGAGAGACTGACTAGGGGAGGCCAAGTGTCTGTCTGAGCGTCCTGAGGAGCTGGGGGGGCTGGGCTGTGCTTGTCAGGCTGCTGTACTGGGCAAGGAGGGGGCGCCTTCAGTGGGGGGAGCAGAGGAGGGAGTTGGTTCAGCACTGCGGCCTGTGGAGAGGCCTTTCCCCGGCTGTGCTACCTGGATTAGGAACCAGTGCTCCAGGCCCAGCTTAGGCGGGGTCCTGCCTCTGAGTTGGAGCAGGGCCAGAGATTCAGGCTGCCTTGGCTGGACCATCCCCAGCCCTGAATGTGCACAGATGTGGCCTAATGGAAGCCACATGCCTGACTCCCTCCACCGGGAAGGAGCCTGACGTCTGTTGTTGCTCAGGAGACTCTGGGAAGGCAGCTTCTCCTGGCCTGGCACACTGGTGGGAGCTAGGAGCCCCCTTTCTTGTCCCCTCCTCCACGTCACAGAGGAGGAAGCCAGGCATTCCCTCAGAGTGGGGCCTTTGCGAGAGCTCAAGGCAGCCCCTTCTGGAAGTGGCTCCATGGTTTCCCCAGGACACGTAACAGCAGCTTGGCCCCTTCCTCTTTGGGGCATCACTTGTTCACAGTCTGCAGAGGTGGGGTCTCTCACTGCCTTGTCATTTCAGGTACCAGAGAAGAGCTCTAATGTGCTAGCTACTGCTTGTGTTGGTCCCAGCGCCAGGACCCATGCTACATACTGTGCATGCACTCTGCAAGGCCCAGCCCCGCATCCTTCAGGGAACCCTGTCAGGTGGACACTCCCATTTCCTGGACAGGAAGGGTTCCAGAGAGACCAGGCCACTTGCCCTAGACATGCAGAATGGTAGCCCAGGCTTCACCTACACTTTTGAAGTGCCTGTTGCGTATATGGGCCTTAGTAGATGCTGGAAATAGAACGTTGAGCCAGCACAGCAGAGTCCCTGCCCCTGGGTATTTGCTGTTTCTTGGAGGGATAGAGAATCCAGCAACCCTATACATGCTGGACTGTGCACCATGTTGTGGGCTGCAGAGTGGAGGCCCAGAGCTCTGCTAGCCTTTCTAGGGAGGTTGACTTGTCCTGAAAACCAGGGAGGACTTTATAGAGGAAGTAGCACTTGTGCAGAGAGGTGGAGGGTGAGGGCTGTTAACTTGGTAAAGGGTAGTAGGAAAGGTCATAGTCATAGCAAACAGCACATGCAAAGGCCCTGTGGCCAGAGGGAACTTAGTGGGGGGGTTGCGGAAGTGTAGCAAGGAGGATGGAGGCATGCACACCGAGGATGAAGATTCTGGCTTTTTTGTGCTAAGCAGTGGAGAATTACTGAAGGTGCCAAGCAAGGGTTTGACACAATCTGACTTGTGCTTTGCAGAACTCCGTCAAGAGTGTAAAGAAGCTGGGATCAGGGCTGTGGCTCCTGGAAGCAGTACTAGGCCTTTTTTCCATGAATCTCTGGGGCCCCAGAATCACGAGACTGTGGCAGAGCAGGCTTACCGATTCTGGGAAGACTCTTCTCCTGCCCTGTTCTGTTGGTGAGAGATTTCTCACTGGGGAAGCAGGTCCAGGCTTCAGGATGCCTGCACCTGTGTCTTTGAGGAGGACCATATCCTGCCGCATCTAAGAGGAGTGGCATCAGATAGGCTCAGCTTGGCCTCTCTTTCCTCACCCCTGATTGGGAGCAGAGGGTCTTCTGAGTTACTGTGTCCCTCAGCTTTTAGGGCTGTGCAGGGCCCTGCTAGGAGCAGCTATGGACAGCTTTAAAAGCACCCCTGGGATCCAGCCTGCATATCCTTGGACAAGGCCCTGCATATGCTCAGGCCCACTCTGTGTCTGATGGGCGACCTGGGGTTGAAATTACGCCCATCAGAGCCCCAGTTTCTCACCTAAGGGCAGCCACTCTGCACCTCTCATTAACTCCATGTTTGCTGGGCATTTAGGATGTCCCTAACCTTTGCAATTAGAATGTGATTCTACAATGAGCTTATCTGAGTGCCCTTCTACTTCATGTGCTGACATAGATCACCAGCCTAGTAGCCATGTGCATTTCTTTGTGAATGTTTTATTGATTTATAACAAATGTAGGTATGGCTATCTCTATTTCATTGACTATGCAAAGGCATTTGAGTGTGTGGATCACCAAAAATTGTGGTTAACTTTGAGGAGAATGGGAATCCCAGAACACTTGATTGTGCTTATGTGAAACCTATACTTGGACCAGGAAGCAGTTGTCAGAACAGAGCAGGGAAACACGACATGGTTCAAAATCAGGAAAGATGTGCATCAGGGACGCGTCTTGTTCTGTACCT